CCCTTTTGGAAAACCCCGCTTGTCACGGGCGCCCACCGACTTGTCACGCCAAATGACCGTTTTTGCCTCCCTGTAGGTATTCTCTAAATCCATTGCGGGCCCTTTCCCTGTTATGTGTGCCTGATCCTTAGCTTTTGTAGAAAACCCTTGTAGGAACGTGTCGAAGGCCTTCTTGCAGTCCAAAAAAATTATCAATCCCCCCCTCTCTCTCTTGTTACTTCTGTCCCCTTTCATAAAACCCCAGTAGGTTTTGAACGGGTTTTTCCCTTCCCTGAAACTTTTGGGGTTTCGTTTATACACTTGTTTCTTTCCAGGTGCCCCCCATCTCCTCCTGATGATCTTCTCCAGATTTTTGTGATCAGGTCGTATTTTAAATGCCTCATGTTGTCTCCCTTAAAAATTGGGACACATTTCCCATCTTCCAACTAGGGAGTTACCCAGTTTAAAGGGTTTTGAAGATCTTTGTTACTGGCACCACAGATCTCTCCCCCCTCTCTAAGACCCGTGGAGAGATTTTTGTCGGGTCCCCCCGCCTTTGAGGTTCAGTTCACATAGAGTTCTTCACCTCCTCCCTTTGGTTGTGGGACCCCATCCAGCACTTTTTGGTGTACCCCCCTGTTCTGATTTCCCGGATCCTATGGTTTCCAGTAAATACTTCTTTAATCTCGTTTGATCCCCAAAATCCTCTCGGTCGTTTCTTGGAACTTCCCCCTCCCCCTCCGGTCTGATTACCCGGTCCCGCTGTTGTTTTCCTCCCGATGGGCAAACAACAGCTTGGGGCAGCTTGACTTTTTGATGCTATGTCATTTTGTATTTTCGCTAGCCTCCCTTCTTATCTGTGCATATTCGTTTCTGGGTCTTTGGTAAACCTTTTTTTTCCGAGTTTTCTGTCTTCTGTGCCTTTTCCATTCTCTAGTAACCTAGTTTTTTTTCCTCCCTACCCTTTGGGGGAACAAAGACTGTTTTGTATTTCCCATTATTTCTGTTTCCCTTGGGAACAAATCTTCCCTGCCCCCTTGCATTTTGTTGTCACATATCCATCATTTCTTGTACGGTTTTCCCGTCAGTTCCCTCCCACTGAATGTCTTGCAGGAAGTTCCTCATCCTGATTTTCCCCTTTTTATTTGGGGTTTTTTCCCCCTATTTCTGCTACTCTCTCCACTTGAACTAACTATGTGTCAAACACGAACCACAAAACGAGCTCCTAGGGGCCTTTCATACATGATCCTTTATGTCAACTACTCAAGGTGAATACAAAGGGCCAGTCTTGCTGATCATCCCCACCCCTCTTGGTGTGCTCTAACATGTTAGCTGAGGTTTTCCTGTACCACATCCATCGTTTTTTGGCTTTCCATTTTTGGGGCCCCAGGGGCTCCAGGCTTTCCAGTTAATCTCCTTGTATTGAAATCACCCATAACTAGTAACTTTGCTCCCCCCATGTGTGCTCTTCTGGCCACCTCGGCTAGTGTGTCGACCATTGCTCTGTTGCTCTAATCGTATTCTTCTCTTGGCCTCCTGCAGTTCTGTGGTGGGTTGTACATTACTGCAATTATCACCTTATGTCCCTCAGACTGGATTGTTCCTACTAAGTAGTCCCTTTCACCCATGCCATCCATTCCTTCCATTTCTCAAAACCCCACTGGTTTTTAATGTGCAGTGCAACTCCTCCTCCCCCTCTCCTCCCTCTGTCTTTCCTGAGGATTTGATATCCGGGTGGAAAGCTTGCATATGTTATCATTCTGGTGAGTTTTGTTCTTGTGAGTGCTATTATGTCTGGGGATGTCTCCTTGATTCTTTCATGCCACTCCTCACACTTATTTGTTATTCCATCTGCATTTGTATACCATACCTTCAACTTCTTTTCTAAGACTGTGGTCTGGGGGGTACATTGGAGTTGGGGAAGTGGGAGACCTGATAAACTATGGGTGGTGGCTATAGGGGTGGAGTTTGTAATGCAGTGGGTGGGGGCATTGAATATAGCATGGGTGTTTTGGTTTAGAGTGTTTGGTTTCACTGGGGTTGACCTGGTTGGGGGACTTCTATAGGAAGTTGTGAGGGAGGCTGTATTTGATCTTCTTCCTGGGTCTGGGATCTCCTGTCTGTCTCCTCCATCCCTTCTCTTTCCTCCTTTCGCCTTTGTACCATCTCTCTCAGTTTCTGCCTTTCTTCTTGTGTTCTATCGCAGTCGAGATACACCTTTCAGTATGCTGGCATGTCCCTTAATCTTGCTTTCTCCTGCAGGATCCTGTTCCGAGTCGATTCTGCCTTGAAAGTCACTTTCACTGGCTGGGTTCTTCTTGCAAACCCCCATATTCTCTGAAAATTTTCCAGCTAAGTCATGTCATCTTCTCCTATTGCTTTTATGATGCTTTCAATTGCTTTTTTTTCCCTTGTTTTCTTGCTTCATATGTTTCCCCTTCAACTTCCTGGAGCCCATACACAAAGACTGACCTCTCCCTTTCATTCTCCCACTGCATATCCTTGTGTATCCACTCATTCAATTTAATTTCCTCCATTGGAGCTTTCCTTCCTTCAGTTTCACTATCTATTGTACTTGGGCTCAGTGGCCTGTCATTTTCCCTTCTCGGCTTTCCCTGGGCTCTGCTGTGGTCTGTTAGGGCCTCCACATATAGCTTAGCTCTTTCATTTACTACAGTCCCCTCTGACAGAGCTTCTACATGCAGTTTTGCTCCTTCTTTCCCTGCAGTCCCCTTATTTGTGACTGAGGTAGCAGTCTCTGATGTCATTCCCAAAATGTTCTTTAGTTCTTTAGGCTGTTTCAGATTTTTCAGTTCCTCTTCTAATCTCTGTATCCTAGCCTCTGCTCTGACTTGCATCTCCCACTTCTGCTTTCCATATCTATCCTCTCTTCCATTCTCATGCTAAGTTCTTCTAGTTTCTTTTCCCATTCATGTTCCCTTTTTGTGAGCTCTGCTGCCCAATCTTCCTTTGCAGATTCATCCTCCTGTCCCTTGGTTTTCCTTCCTGCTCTCTGGCAATCCATGTTTTTTATTTTGATTGCCTCAGAATGGAAAACTTATGTAATTCTGTGTGTTAGGTTAGTAGTGTGTTTGTCCGAGTGTGGGGGGGGGAGGTAGAGGAGGAACTGTGGACAGTGGCTATTATGGGAGAGGGGGGGAGGGGGATTTAGGGGGAATATGGGGAATGAGAAGGAGGGAAAAGCATGGGGGAGAATGGGAGAGGGAGAGGGGGGAAAGAGGGAGGAGGTGGGAAGAGGAGGGTGAATGAGAGAGGGGGGATCAGGGGAAGGAGTGAGATGTTGGTGGGGGAGAGGGAGTGTATGTGTGTGTCTGTATACGTGGGTATGGGTATGTGTGTGTGTGTGTGTGTGTGTGTGTGTGTGTGTGTGTGTGTGTGTGTGGAATTATGTGTGGGTTTATTAAGTGTCTGAAAAGTAGGTGGAATTGTGCATTGGAGTGTTATGTGGAGTTGCAGTGGTCCCTTACCTGACCACAACCTCTTGTGACCTGATCCCCACCCTCCTGTGACTTGACCCACACCTACTTACAATGCTGCCCGGTATGCTTTTACTATCACCTAGGCTTATAGTAACTTACTCGCCTTGTTCCATAGATTACCAATTGCTATTCCTTATTGAGTACTGGAGTGCCTATTCTTTATCATGCTAGGAGAGTTGGACCATTCACAATCAGCTTGGCGGTTAATTGGAACCCGAAAACCACACCCAAACATCCACGCATAGGTGATTACAGTACTTGCAATGCAGCTGTAGCAGCCTGTAGATTGTCCAGCTCGATGTGACGTCCTGGTGTAGATGCACCTCAATTTCTTCTAGTTATATAATGTACTCTATTCACTGTATTTCTTTCACTGGTCACACGATTGTTTCACTTTATTATCTTGGGTGACACGTGGCAACGTCGCCTGAGCCCTGCCTGCTCTGAATGCGCCCCCACGTTTCACTTTCTAGATCACTTACAAAATTGTGGCTCTCCCCACACTTATGTGGCTCAGGCAGATTGTAAATTGCTTTAAGGAATTGTTCACTACCCTAACACACTTAGCAACCCTTGCAGTACACTTATATTTGCGGAGCATGGAAGGCGTGACTCGCGCACGCGGTGTGTGTGTGTGTGTGTTGTGTGTGGTGTGTGTATGTGTAAAATTTTGTTTCAAGCTTGGTAAAACAGCTAGTGAAACACAAAATGCCTCAACAATTATTTAGTGAAGAAAAAATAAGTAGGACACAGTGTCCTGAATGGTTTTCTTGATTCAAAACAAGATGAAGGTCAGTTGAGGATGATACACACTCTGGTCGCCCATCAACATCAAAGATGGCAACATTTAACAAGTGAGGATCCAGGACAGTGCTAGTGCTGTGGGAATGTCTTATGGGTCGTGTCAAAGCATTTTGACTGAAAATAAGAACATGAGGTGAGTGACTGTAAAATTTGTGCTTCACTAGCTGACTGAAGATAACATGGAAGTCGTCCCACATCCTCCGTCATCTCCTGATCTAACCCTCTGTGACTTCCTTCTCTTTTCAAAAATAAAAATGGCACTCAGGAGCAGTGTTTTAACAACATGGAGGAGATTCAAGCAGAATCACAGGCTGTGTTAGACGCTCTTAGGAAGGAAGAGTTCCAGAAATATTTCAACAAGTGGTAACTATATTTTCAGCCATCTTGGAGTTCTCAAATTTCTCAAGGGTGACAGAGTAACACTCACTTGATTATCAATTTTAGGAACCTCAGAGGTTCAGTATCAGCTGAGAACAACTGTGCACCATGGGATTCCATATTCATCCATATTATCTCCAGAATAACTTGAGAGTTTTCAGGTGTGTACCTCGGAGGAATGGATATAAAAAGGGTCACTTTTGTTACACTCGATAAGAATTTTCGTAATAAAGGTTTTAGCTGTATAAACTGCTAATATTTAGCCATGTTAGACATAGTAAAAATATTATCTTAAAGGTGCACTGATGTGTTATATTAATGAGTGATGCTCACACGTACCTTCCCATTGTGCTCCAGTAATACTCCTGAAGCTTGACCTTCCTCGCTGAACAATACCTGCAAAGGTCCAGTGGAAAAAACAAATGTTCATTGTTATATGTCCAGTTTTTAATAATTTTGTTTAAGAATAGATACTGTTGAGTTTCTTCAGTGGGGATACCTAATTGTTTTGATCTTTTACTCTGCGTCCATATGATAACTTAAGAGAAATAATTCACATAGACTTCAGACTTGAAGCATTTACTTCGTATTCCTAAAACGATGTTTTTGATTAAAAGTTTTAGTTCCCTTGTTAAAGCTGAGTTAAGACAGTTTTGGCTGTAGTTCATCTGTTATGCTGCTTTGCGACGACTCTTAAGAGAAGACATGATAGGGTGGATAGGGAAGCAAGGTTGCACATGTTGCAAGTGTATGGAATATGTGGTAAGTTACTGAAAGCAATTAAGAATGTTTATGACGATGGGGTATGTAAAAGAAATCAAAAGTGAACATAGAAAAAATTAGGTAATGAAAAACTTAATATTAGACTGGAATGAGGGAGTGTGGAGGAAGTGAATGTATTCAAATATTTGGGAGTGGATTTGTCAGCAGATGGGTCTATGAAAGATGAGGTGAATCGTAGAATTGACGAGATCAAAAGATAGGTGGTGCATTGAAGCATCTGTGAAGACAAGGAACATTGTCCATGGAGGCAAAAAGGGAAGTGTATCAGATTACAGTTGTATGAACACTCTATATGTGTATGAAGCATGAGTTGAACATTGCAAGTAGGAGGAGACTGGAGACAATGGAGATGTCATGTCTGAGGGCAGTTTGGTAGTTTGGACGTTAGAATGAGTTGCAGGGTTACTAAGAGAATTATCCAGAGGGCTGAAGAGAGTTTGTTGAGGTGGTATGGACATTTAGAGAGGATGGATTAAAATAGGATAACTTTGTGGGTATATAAATCTGTAGTGGAGGGAAATAGGAAGTCGTCCTAGGAAAGGCTGGAGGGAGGCTGTAAAGGAGGATTTGTGTGCAAGGGGGCTTGGACTTCAAACATGTGAGTGTAAGCATGTTAGATAGGAGTGAGTAGAGGCATGTGATTTTTATGACTTGATGTGCTATTAGAGTGTGAGCAATATAACAATTATGAAGGGATTCAGGAAAACTGGTTAACTGGAGGTGGAAAGTACAGTGCCTGCACTCTGAAGGATGGATGAGGATACTGCAGTTTCGAGGGGCATCTGAACTGTGGTGTCAGTGCTTCTCTTGCAAGAGGGAGATGGTGTGAGTGATGGTAAAAGTCCTTCAATATATTAAAAGATGGGGTAGTAGGGGAAGTGGAATATTCAAACGGCTTCAGGAAGAAATCCAAATATTCTTCCTTGAAGCCTTTTTATCCACTTCTCCTAGGCTATGGGTCCCACAATTTACACCAGAGGTGGACCCCATCTATATATATATATATATATATATATATATAATATATATTTTATATATATATATATATATATATATATATATATATATTTAAACAAAACACAGTAGGGCCCCACTTATATGGCTGGTTAGGTTCCAGGCTACCGCCGTAAAGTGGAACACCATTTTTTTTCCACTTACAAATGCATGCAAACACTAGATAACAAGTTTACACTAACATATATTAACGTTACAATAGAACCAGGCATCAAAAACAATAAAAAAAAGTACAATACACACATAGTGCACTCATTACTTACCTTAAAATATTTATAGTCTTAATCTAGGGTGAGACAAGTAGTATTTATTGTAAGAAATCAAGTGTGTTATGTATGGTAGTCAGCAAGGCTACCATACCAGGCTACCCCACCCACACATACAATTCTATGATATTTAATCATCCCAGAGCGATAAAATGTATATACAGTTCACTCATTACTTACCTTAAAATATAGGGTGAGATGAGTAGTATTTATTGTAAAAAATCAAGTGTGGTATGTATGGTAGTCAGCCGGGCTACCATACCAGGCCAACCCACCTACACATAATATTCTATTACATTTAAGCATCCCAGAGCGATGAAATGTATATACAGTTCACTCATTACTTACCTTAAAATATTTGTAGTCTTAATGTAGGGTCAGGAGTAAGTAAATGAGATAAAACGAATAAATGAGAGAGAGAAAGAATGAGATAAGATAAGATAAGATTTCGTTCGGATTTTTAACCCCGGAGGGTTAGCCACCCAGGATAACCCAAGAAAGTCAGTGCGTCATCGAGGACTGTCTAACTTATTTCCATTGGGGTCCTTAATCTTGTCCCCCAGGATGCGACCCACACCAGTCGACTAACACCCAGGTACCTATTTGCTGCTAGGTGAACAGGACAACAGGTGTAAGGAAACGTGTCGAAATGTTTCCACCCGCCGGGAATCGAACCCGGGCCCTCCGTGTGTGAAGCGGGAGCTATAGCCACCAGGCCACCGGGCTTGAGTGCTTGAGAGAGTACAGGCGCAGAGTTATGTAAACAAACCAGGCGAAGGTAAGTTTTGTAAACAAAGTGTACACGTCTGGTTTGTGTACAAGTTACATTGTGTACAGGTTGTCTCTACATTGATACTGTAGAATAAATAAAGAAGAACACTCCCATTCTCATGTAACATCATTTTGAGAAGAAATGATGCTCTGAGTGAAGGCAATGGAAATAAGTCACTCTGACTTTTTTGGGTTATCCTAGGTTCTCTACACATATGTTGTTATGTATGATAATCTATGTAACTGTATTTGTGTATACCTGAATAAACTTACATACGAAAGGAATAATTTTCTACAGTTACCCCCAGTAACACATTTTCTCTTAGGTTAGATTAGAGAAAATGTTATTCTTGGCATCACTTGTAAAAAGTTATCTGGCTACCACATCTCATATTTATGTTTATTTATTCTATTGTGGGTGTATTTATCATCTTTTTATGTTATGTACGTGTTTATTATATAATTTTGAAAAAATATCATAGATGGATTAATGAAAATGTGTATTTAACGTAATATACGACATTTAAATGAGACTCGATGATTATTATTATCATTACTAATATGACGTCTGAGACATAAGACACTCTTACTGATTTTAATGTGTACCTGCATGCCAGCACAGTATGTAAGTTTATTTAAGTACAGGTATACATAAGTGTAATTATCAGAGTATATATAAAATATGAAATAACTTTTAAAAACATTTGAAATTTTGGAGTTTCCAGACAAAATGGAGAGACTTAGTGCTTACTGAGCTCATGAAGAATGTAAACAAACAGGGTGGGGCGCGGTGACCGTATTAGAAAGTCAGGTGGGGGAGCCGTATAGCGAGTTTTGGTCATAATTTGAAATGACCATATTAGTGGAATGCTGTAAAGTGAAACGCCGTAAAGCGGGGCCCTGCTGTATATATATATATATATATATTATATATATATATATATATATATATATATATATATATATATATATATATATATATACAGTCGATCCTCAACTAACGGCGGCATTAAGTAACGTCAATTTCGTCTAACAGCGCTTTTTGCCATAGAAAAAATGCCTTAACCAACAGCGAAAAACTTAACCAACGACGTTTGTCCGGAACTTGTCAATGTGCCCGAAGCGCGGCCTGAGTGGGCCCAGCCACTCCAAGAGTCAGTGTGCCATTGTTTACAAGCTGTTGCGGTCAGTTTCCACATATGCCTCACATATATTTTGGATAATTACACTATGTCTAGTGCTTGTAACCACTAAAGCCGCTGTGGGTTCCAAGAAAGCTTCTAGTGCCAAGCCTGTGTTAAAAAGGGTGAGAATTACGATGGAAATGAAGTCCTTCTGGAAGGGGATTCTCCTTTCCAAGCAATATACAATTCTGAATTTCCCCTGCTGCTGGCACATCACTCATCAACAACTCCACAATAAAGGTAAGTGGTATTTAATTATTGTTTATTTTGCATGTCCCATTCCTTTCCATATGAGGAAATGTATATTTCATATAATTTTTTTTTTTTTTTTCAGACTTTGGGATGTCAGGAACAGATTAATTCTATTTCCACTATTTCTTATGGGGAAAATTAACTCGACCAACGGCAAGCCCTCTGGAACGGATTAATGCCTTTGGGTTTAAAGGGTCCACTATATATATTATAATATATATATAAATATATATATATATCTATAAAATATAATGTCGTGCCAAATAGGCAGAACTTGCGATCTTGGCTTAAATAGCAATGTTCATCTTGCCATATAGGACAAGTGAAAATTTGTGTATGCAATAATTTCGCCAAAATCATTCTGAACCTATCGAAAACAATATTTCACTGTTTGTTTAGTATTAAATTACTGTAAACAAATCTAAAATATATTTAGTTGGGTTAGGCTAAAATAAGTTGTTCTTGTTATAATAAGGTTAGATAAGTTTTCTAAGATTCTTTTGGAGCAAAATTAAAAATTTTTACATTAACGTTAATGAAAAAAATATATTACCTGGAGTTTACCTGGAGAGAGTTCCGGGGGTCAACGCCCCTGCGGCCCGGACTGTGACCAGGCCTCTTTAAACGTATAAGAGAAAATTTTAGAAAGAACTTAATTTTAAATGAGTTCTTGCTAATTGACCAGTTTTACATATTCGGCACGATATATATATATATATTATATATATATATATATATAAAAATATATATATATATATATATATATATATATATATATAATTCGTGCTGAATATGCAGAACTTGCTATCTTGGCTTAAATAGCAATGTTCATCTTGCCATATAGGACAAGTGAAAATTTGTGTATGCAATAATTTCTCCAAAATCATTCTGAACCTAAAGAAAAAATATATATTTCACTCTGTTTAGTATTAAATTACTGTAAACAAATCTAAAATATATTTAGCTGGGTTAGGCTAAAATAAATTGTTCTTGTTATGATAAGGTTAGGTAAGTTTCCTAAGATTCTTTTGGTGCAAAATTAAAAATTTTTACATTAACATTAATGAAAAAAATATAGCTTTAAACGTATAAGAGAAAATTTTAGAAAAGACTTAATTTTAAAAGAGTTCTGCCTAATTGACCAGTTTTACATATTCGGCTTGAGGTTCCTGAACCTGTATTCCCTGGAACGCAGGAGGGAGAGATACATGATTATATAGACCTGGAAAATCCTAGAGGGACTAGTACCGAATTTGCACACGAAAATCACTCACTACGAAAGCAAAAGACTTGGCAGACGATGCACCATCCCCCCAATGAAAAGCAGGGGTGTCACTAGCACGTTAAGAGACCATACAATAAGTGTCAGGGGCCCGAGACTGTTCAACTGCTTCCCAGCATACATAAGGGGGATTACCAACAGACCCCTGGCAGTCTTCAAGCTGGCACTGGACAAGCACCTAAAGTCGGTTCCTGATCAGCCGGGCTGTGGCTCGTACATTGGTTTGCGTGCAGCCAGCAGCAACAGCCTGGTTGAATCAAACTCTGATCCACCAGGAGGCCTGGTCACAGACCGGGCCGCGGGGCGTTGAACCCCCGGAACTCTCTCCAGTAAACTCCAGGTAATATATATATATATTATATATATAATATATATATATATATATATATATATATATATATATAATATTATATATTAATACATACATCAGCCGTTTCCTGACGCAGGGTGACTCGAAAAAGAAGAGACACTTTCATCATGACTCACTTCTCTACTGTCTTGCCAGGGGTGTGCAGACACCTCAGTTTACCAATGCAACACCTTCAAATTCGTGCATTTTCTTGATGTTAAATATTATGATAGATTGCATGTCTATTATATTATATAAATCTCAGCAAGGTTAGGTTGCTAAGTTCTAAGACCTTTAAGACGGTGGTACTGACCTTCAAGACGGTGGTACTGATCTTCAAGACGGTGGTACTGACCTTCAAGACGGTGGTACTGACCTTCAAGACGATGATACTGACCTTCAAGACGGTGGTACTGACCTTTAAGACGGTGGTACTGACCTTCAAGACGGTGGTACTGACCTTCAAGACGATAATACTGACCTTCAAGACGGTGGTACTGACCTTGAAGACGGTGGTACTGACCTTCAAGACGATGATACTGACCTTCAAGACGGTGATACTGACCTTTAAGACGGTGGTACTGACCTTGAAGACGGTGGTACTGACCTTCAAGACGGTGGTACTGACCTTCAAGACAGTGGTACTGACCTTCAAGACGGTGGTACTGACCTTCAAGACGGTGGTACTGACCTTCAAGACGGTGGTACTGACCTTCAAGACGGTGGTACTGACCTTCAAGACGGCGGTACTGACCTTCAAGACGGTGGTACTGACCTTCAAGACGGTGGTACTGACCTTCAAGACGGTGGTACTGACCTTCAAGACGGTGGGGGTACTGACCTTCAAGACGGTGGTACTGACCTTTAAGACGGTGGTACTGACCTTCAGACGGTGGTACTGATCTTCAAGACGGTGGTTACTGACCTTTAAGACGGTTGGTACTGACCTTCAAGACGGTGGTACTGATCTTCAAGACGGTGGTACTGACCTTCAAGACGGTAGTACTGACCTTCAAGACGGTGGTACTGACCTTCAAGACGGTGGTACTGACCTTCAGACGGCTGGTACTGACCTTCAAGACGGTGGTACTGACCTTCAAGACGGTGGTACTGACCTTCAAGACGGTGGTACTGACCTTTAAGACGGTGGTACTGACCTTCAAGACGGTGGTACTGATCTTCAAGACGGTGGTACTGACCTTTAAGACGGTGGTACTGACCTTCAAGACGGTGGTACTGATCTTCAAGACGGTGGTACTGACCTTCAAGACGGTAGTACTGACCTTCAAGACGGTAGTACTGACCTTCAAGACGGTGGCAGTGTGAAGGATGTGAAGGTTGGACCTTGAAGATGCTGGTCTGAGATAAGCCTCAGCTGTGGAGAACCGCCTGCCCTCACGTATATTGAATTGTGACACGGTGAATCCTGGTCATGAAGGTCAATTATTATAATAATTATTATTTTACTGGGAAGTTATAAACCCATAGGAGTCATACAGAGCCTGGGGAATGGGTGGTAGACGATAGAGGAAGGTAGCTATATTTTTTTTAATCTAGTGGTTTTCAAGTACACCAAGGTACTGGGCTCATTCCCCCTCCATAATAGAATAAACGAATTAGTTTGATAATTCATACCAAAGACGAGGTAATCATTCCCTCAGCGTTGGAGTTTTTGAAAAGCACCATTTTCTTCAAGATAGCAGTGCTTATGTAATCCTAGGCTGAGGGACTGATTACCTCATCTTTTGTATACACTTCTACAGTCTTCGCATCATATGGAGAACAGGTTAGATAAATACACTTTCCTGCATGAAATGAACATATAGCAATCAGTACTTATCTGTTAACAGCACAATGTCCAGCAGCCTCTCCCAGGACATCCCTTCGGGGTGCTGTTCCAGATTTCACAGTGGCTCTTGATTAACAATTTGCCCCAAAGGAGTATATATCCAGCATTTCACTATCTTCTGAAATGCGTAGTGATACTTGGGTTTGGATGAATCACCCACATATAACAGGATCTATTGGTAATTCCAGTCAACTCTCACCCCTACCTATTAGCTGCAGCTAACGTAATCAGGTGTGGGTATGCCTGGATTTACCTGGGTATTGAAACTGACCCAATTTCTCCTAGTTTGTGGTAGGGGAAGTATGACCCTCGTATTGATGTCTTTAGTAGGCCACTACAGAAGTGTAGTTATGTTCTCGCTTGTGAAGGCTTACTCAGCCCTGTAACAACTTCAGACAGTATTACCAAGGCTGGCTCCTCCTCAGGAAAATTAGTGAATAGAAAAAGAAATAATAACAGACAAACATAAACACTTTATTATATAGAAAATATAAAACACTTAAATATGAAATATTAATCCTACATTTAAAGAAAATGAAAAATGAAAAATATAAATGATAACTGAATACAATGCTAATGTATAGGGGTGTCTGGTGTTGGTGACACTGAGTGTTGTTGAAATCGTAGCAGTTGCTGATGATGATGGTGGAGGGGGGGGTCGCAGGTGTTGGTTACAACCCACCGGTTCGTTCTTCACAGTATAGCCTTGAGTATTCTATCCCGATGACAGGAAAGCAGGTTCTTTACCGCTGCAATGATGAGGGGTTATGTCCTGCAATTTCATACAGGTGCACAGGTAATTAAATCCAAAAAGGGGAAGTCTCAGGACGTTAGTCCATCTCCGTCAGTTTTACTCGTTGATTGACAGGTGACCCTCTCTGTCATCCAAGCTGGAAAGATAGACAGGTTTCCCACTGCTTAAGAAATTACTCTCCATGATAAGTACAATACCTAAAAGATGTGGTGATTATTACAACAGTCAACCTAGAGCAAGACTGAAAGGACTAAGTTTATTATTGGTCAAAAGTGAAGCTTTCAACCAATAAATCCACTAGAATACAAGGCAGGCATATACTTACAGTAGTGCTGGGAGCTGTGAGTCTAGTGATTACTGTTTGGACCGGAGCCCCACATGTCACCTTTCGGGAGGGGGGGGGAAGAAGGAGGGGAAGGGATAGCGGGAGCTAGACTGACCCTACCTTAACAAGCAGCCGGCAGTCAAACTATCACTTTCGGGGTGGGGGAAAAAAGGTGGGAATAGCGGGAGCTTGACTTACCATACCTTAACAAGTAGCCGGCAATGAAACTATCACTTTCGGGGAGGGGAAAAGGGCGGGAATAGCGGGAGCTTGACTTACCCTACCTTAACAAGTAGCCGGCAATGAAACTATTGTTACTATATACTCCCTCTCTACTCCTATCTATTGAACTTTTCCCTCACACTCCTCCATACCAAGACTTATAGTCAAGGAGTATAAGAAGAATAGGCGAGGAAAAAGTTCTAACATATGGAAGTCGCGTAAGGCAAGAAATCTTCTACCGACTGTCACGACTTAACCAATCAGAGAAATAATTGGATGAACCATTGATATACACAATATGGAACTTAAAAGCCTGGAGTGCCAATGTCCACCTCAAGAGGCGACTGTTGGTTCCCTTAAAAGTTTCTAGGTATATCAAAGGTTTGTGGTCCGTTTCTAAAATGAATTCTTTTCCCAGCAAATAAAATTTAAGTTTGGAGATACCCCACACAAGGGCCAAACATTCCTTTTCTATGGTGGAGTATCTCGTTTCTGCGGGAAGGAGTTTCCGGCTTAGGAAGCATACAGGGTAGGGAGTACCATCATGGTATTGTAGTAGCACTGCACCTAAGCCAGTATTGGAGGCATCAGTTCTTAAAATGTTTTATTAATATCTGGAATCTTAAGTATAGGGTCTTTCGAAAAGATACTTTTAATCTCATTAAACTTTTCCCGAGCTACGTCGGAAAGTTCAAAAGGTTCCTTCACAGACTTTTTAAGGAAGTCGGACAGGATGCCTGTAAGATCAGTAAGGTTCGAGATAAACCGTGCATAAAAATTTACAGAACCAAGAAAGCTACGCATGAGCTTCTTGGTTTTGGGGAATTTAAATTCTAATAAAGCTTTGATCTTACTGGGGAGAGGCTGCAGAGAGTTATTAGAAAGTATCAGTCCAAGATATCTAATCTTGTTATACCCAAGGAAGCATTTCTTCGGCTTGGCAGTGAGGCCATGTGAGTGTAACCTACGCAAAACTGATGTTAATGTTTGGCTATGTTTGCCCCACGTGGATGTCATTACGTAAATGTTATCAAAATAAACTGAAACATTTGGCATATTACCCAAGACCTTTCTCATCAGTCTCACGTAGGTAGCACAGGCAGTTACCAAACCGAAGGGCATAGTTCTATACTGCATCAGTCCTTGGTGTGTAGGAAAAGCGGTGTACTGCTTAGAAGAAGGATCTAACATTACTTGATGATATGCCTGCGCAATATCAATCTCTGAAAAGAAGGAAGAGTCATAAAATTTGTGTAGATCGCTATCTATTAAGGGCATAGGCTCAGCATCCCACCGAGTTATAGCATTAAGGCCTCTGAAGTCAATAGCAAGTCTACATGAATTATCCTCCTCCTTAACCATGACTACTGGTGAACAATATGAAGATACTGAAGGTTCAATGATCTTTAGTTTTAATAATTTGTCTACCTCTCGGTCAAATGCATCCCTAAGGTGAACTGGAACTGGGTATAATTTTCGTTTGATAGGATTGTCCGTCACTAAGTCAATCTTATGGACTACCGTGGAGGTAACACCTGGAATATCAGTAAAGACTTCTGAAAAGTTACTCACACATTGAAGTAGTTCATGTCTCTTATGGTCATCCAAAGATTCATTAATATTAATGTTGGTTGCGTCCGAGTGGTCAAGAGTCACCAAGTCATGTAGTTCTTCATCATAGTCTAAGTTAGAGGTGTCAATTACGCACACCTTACATTCTTCAGTTGTCGTATCAAGATCGTGTGGAAAAACTAAGTCAAAGTTATTAAGGCAGTTAACCGAATTTCTTTGGTAATATTTCTTAAGGATGTTGATATGATAAAGCTTAGGTTTCCCCTTGACTTCCAAGAGGTAGTCAACTTTCCCACAAATTTTTAATACTTTATATGGACCTTTCCATGCTACTAATAATTTATTTGACTTGATCGGCAAAAGTACAAGAACTTCATCCCCTACTTTAAAACTTCTCCTCTGACTTTTGGAATCAAAATAGGTTTTGTACTGGTCCATTGACAAGCTTAGGTTTTTCGAAACTATGTCATAGGTCTCCTCAAGTTTGGATCTAAGGTCAAGGAGAAACTGGTAAGAAGACTGAACCTCAGCACTCACCTCCTCATTAGTCCATAAGTCATAAAGGATGGACAATGGGCCTCTGGCCTGTCTACCATAGAGAAGTTCAAAAGGTGAAAACCCCAAAGAGTCACTGGGAACTTCCCTCATGGCAAACAAAGCACAGGGTAGGTAACGATGCCACTCCTAGTTTAAGGGAGCAAAGTTTCCTTAAAATGGACTTGAGAATCGAATGCTGGCGCTCAATCCTCCCATTACAGCTGGGATGATAGGGTGTGGTGAATAGAGGCTTCACTCCCAGAAGTTGGTATAGATGTTGCATTAAGTCAGATGTGAATTGTGTCCCACGGTCAGACAAAATTTCTCTAGGGATGCCCACTCTGGAAAAAATGGACAAAAGGGCTTCAGCCACCTCTGTAGTGGTTATGGTTTTTAAGGGAACGGCTTCAGGGAAACTCCAAGCATAATCAACTAATGTTAATATATATCTATGTCCCCCAGATGAAAGCGGAGATAAAGGACCAACGATGTCATTTGCTACTCTTTCAAAAGGTACCGTAAAGACTGGCATTTTGACCATAGGTACTCGCCTGGTACCTCGGGAGGATGACAGTTGGCAAACTTTACACGATCTACAATAGGTAGTGACATCAGGACATTTTTGGCCAAAAATAGGTTTCCCTAATTTTATTTAAGGTTTTACGATGCGAGAAATGTCCGGCCACTGGCAGGTCATGAGGCATTTTAAGAACAGTCTCTCTGCATTGACTTGGAACAACTAAGATGGAATAGTCTGTCTCATCTGAATTTAATTTGAATACTGACTTGTACAAGATACGTTTTATATATTCAAATTTATATGAAAAGTTTTTCCTTTGGATAACTTGATTTTGTTTAGCGGCATTATGGGACTTCTGAAGAGAAGGGCAATTACGTTGTAAATTGACAAAGGAGTCCTTCGATATGTCTAAAGGCTTAAAGTCAGGGAAAATCAAAGGATGGACAGTAGGAGAAGCCTGGGCTTTGGTCTGAGCCCTAGTCAAGACATTTATAGTATCGGAGGTGATATCTTCACTTTCATCTAATAAGTGAACCGGTGATCCTACTACCTCGCTTTCGAGAGTAGCATCACTGGTTTTTAATCTCACATGAATCTCACGAGACATTGTCTCATCTGAATTTTCGAGGGGCTTCTCTGACTCTACA